CCTCAGCGCGCCCGCCCGCCCCGTCCAGGACGCCGTGCTGCGGCGCCTGTCGCTGCTCGAGGACATCGTCTACCGGCAGCTCAACGGTGAGGGCGCGGGGGACGTGGGTCGGGGACTACGAGCGACTGCGTGAGGCGCAGGGGGACGCGGGGTGCCCGGGACAGAGAGGCTGTGTCAGGGAGACGCGGGGCGCAGTGGGACGCGGGGTGCCCGGGACTGCGCGGGCCTGTGTCAGGCGGACGCGGGGCTCAAGGGGACGCGGGGATTCCGGGACTGCGCGGGGAGGAAGGGGGCGGGGTACGTGGAGGTCCCAGGACTGTGTGGGGCGCAGGGAGGATGGACGGGTGGGGACGCAGGGGTCCCGGGACTGCGCAGGGCGCGGGGAGGATCGGGAAGGTGGGACACTGGGGTCCCGGGATTGCGCGGGGCGCGGGGAGGACGTGTGGGGACGCAGGGGTTCCCGAACCATGTGGGACGCGGGGAGGACGCGGGGAGCACGGGAGCGCGGGGGTTCCGGGACTGTGTAGGGTGCGGGAAGGATGGGTGGGGACGCGGGGCTCATGGGACTGCGCGGGACGTGTGGGGAGGACGGGGAAAGGGGGCCGACGCGCGGGTGCTGGGACTGGGGCGCGGGGAGGACGCATGGGGATGCGCGGTCTCGGGACTGCGTGGGGCGTGAGGGGGACGGGAGGGGTCCCGAGGGTCCCGGGACTGCGCGGGGCACGGGCAGGACGCGGGGTGCAGGGATCCCGGGACGTCAGGGCACGCCGGCCCTCGGCCCCTCTCCGCAGCCCGGGCTCTGGGAAGTTCTTCCCGCGGCTCCAGGTCCGCAGCTGCAAGTTTGCGCGGGCTGCGCGGGGCAGGATGTCGCTGGGACCGTGAGTGCGCACAGGGCCCCGTGAGCCCTTCGCAGGCTGGGGTGGAGCGGCGAGTCGAGAGGCGGGTCGAGCTGGGGCCGGGTCCTCCGCGCGTGGGCGCGGACTGTGGGCAGACTCTGGCAGATGGCGGTGTGGCCTTCAGTTAGTGACAGCAGCGGTGCTGCTGGTGTCCTGACTCAGTGCACTCCCGGGAGGGAGGCAGGGAGGCTGGGAGGCTGGTGGGGAGGCTGCTGGTGTCTGCTGGTTGCACCCATCCCTGTCCCGGGCCGCGCTTGTTGTCGGGTCCCCCTGGCTTGACCCAAGCCATGGCAGCGCTGGGCGCAAAGCACGGCCCCGTTCCGCCTCCGAGCTCTCGCGGTGGCTACAGAGGGGCAGAGAGGCGTCAAGACCAGCACTGTGGGATGGAAATCTCGGGTTTGTTTTGCGTGGTGCTGGGATTTGAACTCGGAGCTTGCCAGGCAGACACTGTAACTGCGGAGGGATTTCTCCAGCCCAGTTTCTGGACCTCACTTTTTGCTCAGGCACAGGCCTAGGTTCCTGGAAGGGTTGCTCCTTGGGGCAGAGGCCAAGGCTTGGCTCTGGTTGGCCAGGGAGGCAGAAGAGCCCTTGCTTGAGGCCCCCCTGGGCAGGCGGGCACACAGAGCATTGGTTCGCTAGGCAGGCAGCTGTCCTCATCCTGGGCACCCAGCCCAGCCTGGTGTGGAGTGCCTGAAACCTTGGAAGCAGGGGACCCATGTGAAACCAGGACCCCCTCCCCCTCTCCCTCCCCTCTCCCTCCCCTTTCCCTCCCCTCCCCTCTCCCTCCTCCCCCTCTGTCTTTCCCCTCCCCCTCTCCCTCCTCTCCCCCTCCTCCCAGCTGTGCTTGCTTGGGGTAGCTCCTGGGTTTTCTTGATGCCTGGGCCCGCTGGAGCCTAGGGATGGCCTTGGTGTCCAGGGAGGTGAGACCAGGCCTTGGGGACCTCTCACCCTGTACCCAACCCTGTACCCCTGAGCTTGTGGAGTTGAGCTGGCATGGTAAAAGTTGCTCTTGTTCTTAGACCTGTCCTGTGTGTGCGATCCTAGGATGTGAGCTGAGGGCCTCATGCCCACTCACTTGGCTTATTCACTCAAGGCTGGCACTCTACCACTTGAGCCACAGCGTCTTTCCAGCTTCTTGCTGGCCAATTGGAGATGAGTCTCTTAGGTTCATCTGCATGGGCTGGCTTTGCTGCCAGGCCTCAGCTCTCAGCCTCCTGGACTGCAGGGTGGCAGGCCAGAGCCACGGCAGGTTTTGCCAGCTAGGAGCAGGTTTTGCTTAGTGGCTGCCGGCACTGGCACAGATGCCCAGAGGGGACATGGACTTCTTCAGAACTGACCTGCACTGGCCAGATCCTGCTGGCAAGCTGCAGTGCCAGGCTGCTGCTGTCTGCTGTCCTTGGTGTGGCTGCACGGAGCAATTGGGAGCCAGCAGAGACCCAGGGAAGAGGGGGAAGCACAGGCCTGAGCCAGATTCCTTCCCATAGATTCTCTGGAAGCTTCTCTCCCTTAGGACCACAGTGCCTGCCCTGGCTGCCTTCTACCTCCAGCCTTGTGCCCACCCTAGGCCTTGTGTCCCCTGCTTGTGCCCACCTCCTCTTCCTTCGTGCCTCTCTCCTTCCACTCCCCCGTGCCTACTCCTCCAGGTCCCCCCTCTTTTGTGCCCCCTCCTCTGTGGGCCCCTCCCCTCCTGTGGTCCCATCTGGTTTTGGCCCTCCTGTTGGAAGGGGCCCTTGAGGTGCTTAGAGGAAGCACCAGTGTGTTTTCATTAAATATGTGTGTTACCAGGACACTCCATTATTCTTATTTTAGTAGCAGTGCTGCTATGAATAGCCTTTAATATTCTTAATTTTAGCACAAAAGAACCTCATAGAAAATTTGGAAAAATCTAAAAACAGTGACATAGAAGAAAATAAAACTCTGTTAAAAAGTATTTTTAGAGGTTTAGGTGGTGCTGTGGCTCACGCCTCTAATCCTGACTACTCAGGAGGCTGAGATCTAGGAATCTGCATTTGAGGCCAGCACAGTCAGGAAAGTCTGAAACTTAACCTCCAGCTAACCACCAAAAAGCTGGAAGTGGAGCTGCAACTCAAGCAGTAGAGTGCCAGTCTTGACACCAACGCTCAGGGCCAGCTCCCCAGGCCCCTATTTCAAGCCCCAGGATTGGCACAGCAACCAGAGACAGACTTTACTGTTGTACCCAGTCTGTGCATGGCTTGTGACTTTGTCAAGACACTTCCATCTCATGTCCTCCTTATGATGTCATGAGTTTCCTGTCACCGTTTCAGAAAGCTGCCTTGCTTCTCTCATTTTGCAGAGGAAAAAGATGAGAAACAGGTGGGGTGTGGTGCACACAGCCAGGCAGGGCTGCGGCTCTGTCCCCTGCCGGATCCCAGGGTGAAGAGCAGTGTGGTGGAGGGGAGGGCCCACCGGAAAACCAGCCACCACAGACAGCGCCTGAAGGGAGTCAGGGCCGGGCCCTTTGTCACATGCTGTGTGGGGACCTTGTAAAAAGGGCTTAATGATAGGCAAAAATGGATGGGCAGCATGGCTCAAGCAGTAGAGCACCTGCCTGGCAAGTGCAGTGCCCACACTGCCAAGAATAAACCAACAAAAATCACTAGCCAGCTGTGAAAGGACCTGCAGTAAAAATGGCCCACTGTGTGTGTGTGTGTGTTTGTGTGTGTGTGTGTGTGTAGAGCAGGGGACTTGCTGGACGGCAGCAGAACACGGAGGACCAGGCCTCCATAGGCCTTGGGCTGGCTCTTCCAGTGTGGGCAGTGGACAAGAACCCACCTCAGAAGCCCTCCCCTGAGGGGGGTTCCTGTCCTGGAAAGTGAGACAGGGGCCTCAGAGGGCTCAGGGCAGGGGACCAAAAGGACTCAAGGCAGAGGACCGGGAGGGCTCAGGGCAGGGGATTAGGAAGGCTCAGGGCAGGGCCAGGCCCAGGAGGGCTCAGGGCAGAGGCCCAGGAGTAGGAGGCCGCCCCTGGTGCCCCCCCAGTCAGTGCTCTGGGTTTTCCGAGCTCCTTTCCTGGCATGTAGAAGCAAAGCCTTTTAATTAACTTATTATCAGTTCCACTTTTCCCACACAATGGTGGCTGGATTTAAAGCTCAGGCAGCATAATTGAGAAGCTTAGAACTCACAGGTTCATAATTTTACACGCTAGAGGCCGCTAGTCCTAGCTTGGAGGCCCCCCCCCCTGCACGGGCCCCTCCCTCCTCCCCCCTTCCCCCCTCCACCCCTTCCCCCCCCCTCACCCTGCCAGCTGCACCTGCTGGGTCCCTAGCCTGGTGTCCTTAGAAGGCCATGGAAACCGCAGGAGGTGGACCTGGGCAGCATTGCTTCTGCCCAGGCCCTGAGCATCGAAACATCCCGCACCCAGCTTTTCCATTGAGATGGGCTAGCCTCAGAACACAGTTCCCTCAGGCACTGGGATTATCGTCGTGAGTCCTTGTACCGGGCTAGTGCTCTGCCCTCTGAATGTCAGTTCATCCCCACACCCCAGGACCCCATTTGAGAGTTCACAAGTGCAGGGACTTCCCGAAGGTCCCAGCAATCACTCATCACCTGACAAAGCTGAACTTGAAGTCTGGCCCATCCTCACCCCCTGGACAAACGCTCTCCTTATCCTACCTCGTTCCAGGCGCCCTTGGCCCTCACCAGACTCTCCTGGCTCAGACCACACTCCCAATTTAGCAACGTGCATAGGTCAGCAGCAGCCACCAGGTCCTGCGCTGGGGCTGGGCTAAGGCTTTGTTGGGCCGAGCTGAAGCTAAAGCTGGGCTACATTAAACTAGGCCTTGGCTGGGCTGAGCTGGGGCTGAGCTGGGGCTGAGCTGGGGCTGAGCTGGGGCTGGGGCTGGGGGCTGTGCCCTATGCCTGCCTGGGCTGGAGCAGCTGTCTTCTGAGGATCCAGCAGCAGCCATACGCTGTGCTGGTGTGGAAACCAAAGTGTTTATGTTTACCAACAACTAAATAACAGCGGTGTCTTTATTACAGCTGATGGGGCTTGAGTCTCCACTTCACACTTGCAGAGGTTAGTTGAAGGATTAGCAAGCAAAGGCAAAAAACAAAAAGAAAAGGAAAGAAAAGATGTTCTTTGGAGCCTCTGCATTTTAAATCATGCAAACGTTTGTGTTTGTGCCAAAGCCCCCAATTTCCTTTAGAGCAATTACGGAAATGCATTCTGA